TTTCAGGCCGGCGCTTTGGACCAGGAGCTGGCGCTCCAAGTCCTAGATGAGCTGCTGGAGCAGGTTGCCAAGCTGCTTCAGCAAGTGCAGGCGGTGGAGAACGCTGCAGATGGGAGGGCTTGGAGTGATTGGGTTCAGTCAAATGGAAAAGGGGGAATGGGCTGGGCCCACAGATGGTCTAAAAGGCTGGAGGTCTGGCGCCCGTCCGAGGTGCGATTCAAGTCTCAGTACGCGGGTAGGCCCCATAACATGTTGCACGTTGAAGCTGATCGACTGGCTAAGATATGGCAGGTTCCCTTGGACACCCCACTCCAACTGGTTCCCGATACTGATGATCGCGTTGCCCTCGGTCCGATTTCCCCAAAAGGTTGCGACAAGTGGCCCGTAGCATCCCTCATTCTACTGCTTCTACCTGGGGTGGGCTTCACCCGCGACATCTTAGCACGTTGAATAACGAGCAGGCGGAGATCGTCTGCCAATGCTCTAGGTTTACTTGAAGGCTGGCCACATGCTCACACAGCTCCAAGGGATCGCATCAACTCTTATGATGAAGTTGAAACAGTACGGCGCTCCAGCCAGTCAGCCTCCATTCAGGCCCATTGGCATGTTGCCAGCGTTACATCGCGCGCGGGCTCGCCCGCGTAGATCGGCGGCCAGCGAGTGGGAAGCTCACCCTCGGAGGCCCTACCTAGCGCATCCGGCTGGCCACTCCATACTTGAATTGGTATATAAACAACCCTTCGAATGCGAGTTCAACGGTGCCGCTAAAGAGCAGGAGTATCGTGCGCATGTCTTGTGCGATCTATCTCACTACTACGAGCATGTTGGTCGTCCGTGTCTAGCTCATCGTGCTGTTGAATCAGGTATCCCGTGTTGTTTACTTCGGATTATCTTATCCCAATTTGCCAGTGAACGTATTGCATCGTTGCAAGATTGCGCGGTCAGTTTTGCCAAACCGTGGAGAGGCATTGCCGCGGGCTGCAGCTGGGCCACGCACGTAGTGCACATGTATGTGCTAGCCCCTCATGGTGTAAGGACATAAGCCCACGGTCACATGAGGCTCGCGATGCTCATCGATGATCTGCTGCTCCAGTGCCACGGCCGCAGTTTCAGCTTCATCGTCAGCCAGGTCAGCCAGGTTAGCATGCCCGCCAGGCCCATGCCGGACTGTATCATCCACGAGCTTAAATGCCATATTGCCAGCAAGAAAAGACAGGTTCTCGCGCCCCATCAAGCACCCCAGGACCAGCTCAGGACTGCTCTGGTGCCTCTGGCAGGCCCGAACAAGGACCGCGCGGGATCCAACCTCGCGGTTAAAATTTGGACTGGGCGGCCCCAAAGGAGATGGAGAAAGTTCCGGGAGCTCACCGAGCGCCTGGTTAAGATGCGTAAAAGATTTGATCGGACGCCCACGTTGGAACTTGCCGGGGGGGGGGGGGGGGGGAACTCGCGCGCTGTATAAGACTGGCCTTGAAGCGGCCACCAATGTTGGAGTCGTGGTCGCCGGCATCAACGGCATTCAAGTTGAGTCGGCTAGGTCGCAGCATCTCGCTGCAGCGGGCCCAAGGTGCCCGACGCGCAGCCGCGGTTTGGCGCTGTCCTCTATGGAAAGCCATTATAGGCCCTGCCATTATGTGGCACCGTCTTGTTTGGGACGCGCCCACCCGCCCTCACCTCGCCGCGGCCAGTTTCCAGCAACTGCGTTTGCGGGCGGATGCCATCCTCCTGAGAGTTTCAAAATCTTGGGGTCCCTCTAGGGGCCCTCTTAGTGCGGCCGTGCTTCCCTTGAAACGCATTGGTTGGAAATTCCAAGGGCCGTTCAAGTTTGTGGCATCTTCAGGCCTTGAGTATCTTCTTCCAGGACCCCCCCCCCCCCCCCCCCCCGCCTTCCTTCAAAAGCTCACGGGGCACGATTGGCACGGCCAGCTCGCCATGTAGGCGGCCGCGAAGCTCGGCCACCCGAGCGCTCAGTTAGTTGTTGCTGCTGCTTTTAGCGCGCTCGCTTCGGACCTCCTAGGCTACCAGAAGGGCGCGCTCCTCGCCTTCCCCGCCCAGAGTCCACGGGCGATGGAGGGGGCCAAAGCAACGGGATACGATGTCCCAGTTGAATGCGATCGCGGCCATCCCTCGGACAATCTCGGCCACAGACTGCTACACAGCCCGAAGACGGCAACGCATAGAACCATTCATTTCTCGGATGCGGAGCTTCTGCATTGAAGAGAGCACCCGCCCCAGGCCACGCCCCGCCACCTCGGGTGCCAGCTGGTTCCTGAGTTCCGAGGAGGGCCTCCGCCAGGCACTGGGTCTGAATTCGGTGAGTTGTGGCGTGCTCAAACAGGTCTCACCCCTCATGAGACCTTCAGTGAAGGGGGAGTTTTTGTGGACGGTAGTTGTGCCAAATGCGGCCAGTATGTGCTCAATGCCACAGGTTTCGCGGTAATCTGCATGCGTGACCGAGAAGTGTTTGCCCATTTCAGCGGCCGCGTTGGCCAGATGCGTTCGCGGACCTCAGGAGCCGCGGAGCATCTGGCGGCAGTCGCTGCCAGTTTGATGCCCAGGGACATTAAAGCTATCTATTCTGACCGCAAGGTGGCCCTGCTACTGCACCAAGGTAGCGAGCGCCCCGTTGCAATCTGCGGTCCGGGTTTAAGGTCCTGGCTGGCAGGGGGATCTTGCCTTTGGGGCAGAGGCCCCAAAAGGTGGAAGCCCACCAGGGCACGCAAGCCCTACCCGTCGGCAGCGATGCCCGCCGACTGGCGGAAGGCAGTGCTGCAGCGGACCACGTGGCTAAAGCTGCTGCGCACAAGGGTGTTCAGCCCAGCGAAGCAGGGAGAGGCAACCTTGCAGATTATCGGAAGTTCCTGATCAAATGCCTCAAGTATGTAGCCCAAGCTCTAGGAGAGTGGCCCGCGGTCGCCCCCAGGAAAAGCACAGTTTTGGCCGCCCCAGAGAAGAGCCTGCCTCCCCCCGCGGGTGCTGCCTCTGCCCTGACGTCGTGGACGGCGCCGTCGTCTGTCGCGCCCCCCCCCTTCCTCCTTCGGAGCCCCGCGAGGTTCCCAGGGGGCCCAGGGAGCCCCACTCGTGGGCCCTTATATCAGGATTTTGGCGCTGCATTCTGCGTCGAGTGCAGTCTATGGTGATGAACCAGAGGACAGCCCTTTAGGCTAAGAGTGGCCCTGGTCACTGCAAGCAGTTGTCAGATGTCGCGCATGACAATACAGGCCATGGTTTGTGTTTAGTATGAGCATCTTGAGCTACCCACGAGCATATTGGCTTGCCATAAGTGTGGATCCTACTCGGAGGGGTTGGGCCGCGGGCCCACTGGAGTGCGCGGCACCCGATTGAATCGCCAAGGTGCGGCCACTCAGCTTGCCCGCGTCCACGAGGGCCCCCAGGAATACCCTTGGCCCGATTGGTTCGCGAAGGGCAAGCCAAGGCCAGAGGGGGGAGACACCAAGTCCTACATAGCTGGCCGTGCTCACGGCGGACTTCTCACTCATCTGCTGTGTGCGTCCCCTCCTCCTGGCGTCGCCTCGCGCCTTCTGCGCGCCTGCGCGCGTGTGCGCGCTTCCGCGCGCGTGCCAGGCACCCCGTCTCAGGGGGTAGGCGCGCTGTAGTTTGCACCCGCTGCAGCCCAGCTGCAGCTCTGAGGCCTGCTTGTGTGTCTTGACTGTTGCACAAGGGCCGCCCTCCGTGGGGCTGGGCGCGAGGGTGGACCTGGTCGGCCAGCCCACCCTGACCGTTGCTCGTCCCCACCCCCTCCCCCCCTTGCCCCGCGCGGGCGGCGAAGGAGAGCCGCAGAGGCTAGATGTGCACCGCCACAGCTGGGCCCTCGCTCTGGTTCACTGTCGGCAGCCTGCCGTCCCAACTCAGCCCAAGAGTCTTGAACATTCCCACGCCAGGGACGCAGCCTGCCCACCGTCCTGGCGTTATTTACACCAGGGGTGGGCAGTGCCGCGTCGTCCTGGCGTCGCCTCGGGCACTCTGTGTGCACGTGCGCGTGCGCGTGCGTGCGCGGCCCCGCACGCGTGTCAGACACCCCGCCTCAGGGGGAAGGAGCGCCGTGCACTCTTCCTCTGCGGCACGACGTGCCTCTGGCGATTCCCTGGCACGGCCGCGGAGCGCTGCCCAGCTCCCCCCCTTGTGACCGTTGCACAAGGGGCCGCCGTCCGTGGGGTCTGGGCACGGAGGTGGACTACGTCGGCCAGTCCACCCCGACCGCTGCTCCACCCCACCCGTCCCCCCCCCATGCCCTGTGCGGGTGGCGGTGGAGAGAGCCGAGGTGGCTAGGAGAGCAAGCGCCACATCTGGGCCCAGCGCCCCCCCCGTTTCAGCGTCGGCAGCGTCCTGCCGTCTCAGCGGCCACTGGTGTCCCGCGGCCGTTGTGGAGAACATAGGTGGCCTTGTGCCACGAGGTTTTGAGTTAGGGTCGGGCCGGCCAACCCTTAGCCTCCCTCATCAGCCATGTGATGGTCCTCCTCCTCCTCCTCCTCCTCTTCTTCCTCTTCCTCCTGCTTCTCCTCCTTCTCCTCTTCCTCCTACTCGTACTGCTCCTACTCCTACTCCTACTCCTAATTCTATTCCTGCTCCACCTCTTCCTCGTACAGGAGGGGGAAGCTGCTGCATGCAGCTGCTTTCGGCCCCGCGGTGGGGCGCACTTCCTCGACACACGGGCGCTTCCCAGCGCCAGGAGGCGCTGGGAAAACCGGCAGTGCTTGAGCTGACTCGCCAATCCCCGCTTTATCGCCCCATGTTCGTTGGACGCAGGTGGTCAGGAGCAGAGGCATAGCCTCAGGGGGGTGTGGGGGGGGAATGCATCGACCGGACGCATCGACGCTCCATCGCCCATTCATCGCCGATAGGGGCCTGATACCCCGCCCCGCTCAGAAGCGTGCGGGCTCGCCATCTGGGACCTATCGCCGATCTATCGGCGATGTATCGCCGATTCTAGGTCGATGTTTCCCCCGCGGGGCCAGTCCCCCCCGTAACGTTCCCCTCAGGTGAGCGGCGTGAGCGTGGTATCCGAAGATTCGGCCGACGGTCAGCAAACACACATGCTGTGGGACCCAAAGCTTCGCAAGTGGGTGATGGACCACGGCGTGAATTTCACTCACGACGAGGATTTCGAGGGAGAGTGAGGGTTAATGCGGTGTGAGCATGCGTAGCCCTACCGCCCTGAAGCCGTTGTTTCCATCTATCTGTTGCATGCTAAGCAGCCCCAAACATGGACTGACAAAAGTACGCTCCATTCACCTATCTGTATGTAAAGATTGGGGAGGGGCCTTCGAGGGAATTCAAGCGCTTCAGTTCAAGATAATTCAGATCATGTTTGCTTCCTCGACAGTTTGGCTTGATTGCTACTGTTCGCTAGCATGCGCTTGTGCACACTTGCGCTCCTTCGATCGCGTGATGGAGCGTCTTGCGCACCTGATTGACACCGCCTCGAAGGGGACACGGCTGGACAGCCATTCCGCCCATCCATCCCGTCTTGTCATTCTGATGATTTCTCCAGTTGTATGATTCCTTGGTCTACGACCATGCCTACTCCTTCCTTGCCCTCGTCTCCCTTGCTTAGCCCTCCTTCTCCCCCTCCTCATCCCTGTTGCCCTCCCCCCCTTCTCCCGCACCTCGTCCTCCTCCTCCTCCTCCTCCTCCTCCTCCTCCGCCGCCCCGTCCTCCTTAGGGGTTCGTGGGGTCCTCGTGGGTAGGCTTGGGGTCTCTGTGGGACCTGTTGGGGCCGTCTTGGGCGGCCTTGTTAGGGGCAGCTCAGACCCTGTGGGACCTTGGTCGTCTTTGGGATCTCTTGGGTCGTCTCGGGGCCGTCTTGGGCCGTCTGGGGGTTTTCTCTGGTCGTGTTGTCTCACCCCTGGACGTTCTCTTGGGACCCCTTGGAGCCGGCGTGCAGTTCTTGAATCGTCCTGGGAACATCTAGGACTCTCGGTTGACCAGAAGCCGTACTGGAACCATCTCGAGCCGAGAGGTGGAGCATGTCAAATACATACCTGAATATGTTGTTTCTGCTTTCATCTGTTGTTGAAGTCTAGCCGTTTGGGAACATCCTGGGACTTTCTTGGGCCGTCGTGGAGGCATATTGGGGCCCCCCAGGGCTGCCGTGCTGCCCCCTTAGGCCATACTGGCACCGTCTTGGACCTGTCTCGGCCTTCAATGGGGCCACGTTGAGCCGTGGTGGAGCCAGCTTGGTCTCCTCTTGGGTCGTCCCGGGGCTTCCCTGACCCCAGGATCACGAAAAACAAGGCCGACGGACGCGACGTGGCCTCGGCACGGAGGCAACATCCTCCGTGCTCAAGGAGGGCAGCTTTTTGAGCAGTATGTTCGGGTTCGGGGTCGCTCCACCCAGCGTCGTGCTGCGGATCGTCCTTCTGCGGGTACGTACTGCTTCGCGTGGGGCACGACCAGAGGAGCCCACCATTACATCAATCGGCTTCCGCTTTACTCCTCGCGCACAAGTCGTAGAAAGTTCCAGCAGTTACGCGGGTGAAGGGCGATTGTCTTCCAGAGCGTGATTATCGCCATAGTGCAGTGCACATTCGTCTTAGAAGTTCCCAAGACATACCCATACCCTGGTTTCAAAGTGCGGCTCTCGCCGTAGCGCCGCGCACATTCGTATTGCCGTGCGCACATGTTCCAGGCTTCCAGAAGTTACAGTGGTTGAGGGCGGCTGGCATTAACAATTCTACTCGCCAGGGCGACGCTCACAATCATTTTGAACGGTTCCAGCGATTACACAGATGAGGATGCAGCGCGATATATTTTTCAATGTGTGTTCGTCGCCGTAACGCCGCACACACTCGTCTGAGCAGTCCCCAGCAGAGGGGGCTCTCGCTTGACTACTTGTGGGTGATACCTGCGAGCAAGCAGTTCAGTGTGTGTCGCGGCTGCCCATGGATGTCGGTTGCATCGCAAATCTTGGTTTTCGCCCGTTGCTCAATTGCACGATCCCCTTTCTTCATTTCTCAAAGCTACAGGATGAAAGGGCTGATCATGTTCAGAATTGGGGGGGGGGGATGGCAGGCCCACTGAACGCTTGTCCTCCAACGGGGCGCTTCGCTAGGTGTGCAGGCATTCCTCGGGGATGCGTGAGGAGGGGGCTTCCGAAAGAAGGGTGCGTAGCAGCATCTTTCATGCAGCCTGGGTCATGAGTTTTCTCTTGACCTTCTCTGCTTCTTCTCCCTCCGTCCCCTCATCCTCCTCATCGTCATCGTCCTCCTTTCTCCTCCTGCTGGTCCTCCTGCTCTGCCTCCTCCCACCCCCGCATCCTCATTCGAGAATCAGACGGAGGTTCACGGGCGCCCGCGTCGCGAAGCAACACATTGCAACGTCGAACGTCTGGGTTTCGGGGGGCGTCGGTGGACCCTGTCTGTAATTTTGAGAAAGAGGAGGAGGAGAGGGAAGAAAGAGAGGGAAGACGACGAGGATGAGGAGGAGGAGGACGAGGAGGAGTTGGAGGAGGAGGACTCTTGGGGCGCCCCCCCTGGGGTCCAGGCCGCACACGCGGGGCCCTTAGTAGATCTGGGTCGCCCGCGGGGGCGCGACGCCAAGCGCGCTCCTCGCGCCGCGGTCTGGGCCAGATTGGAGGCCCTCCTCCGAGGGGGGGCCGCGCGAGTGCGCGAAGATGAGGCGCGCACTGCGGGCCGCGAGGCGCGGAGGCAGAGGACCCGGGCAGACGGGATCGCGCGGCCGCGCCGCGTCGCCGAGAGGCATCGGCGCTGCGGCGCGATCCGGAGTACGACTGTATCTCCGTGCCGGCGTCGCCGAGGCATCGGCTGTGCTGCGCGATCCGCCGACCCCCATCTCGGAGGCAGCGTCGGGAGGAGGGGCACAGCTGCAGGGAAGGGGGGGGGGGCGCGTCGACCCCGAGCCGCCCACTCATGACCGTTGGCGATCCGCCGACCCCTTTTCTCAGAGGCAACGTTGGGAGGAGGGGCATAGCTTCAGGGAAGGGGGAGGGGGGGGCGCATCGACCCCGAACCGCCCACTCGTGAGCGTTGGCGGCCCGAGAGCTTCACCACCCACCAAGCCACCCCAACCCAACCCGAAGGCTCAGATTTACCCTCGATTTCCAGTGGGGGGGGGGTCGGGAAACATCGAAAAAGCACATGTGGGACCCTTACCCCCCCCCCAACCCGAAATTCGGTTCTTCGGGTTGGGTTGGGGTGGTCTGGTAGGTAGTCAGATAGACCCACCCCGCCCGGGAGCGTGCGGATCTGCCCTCCCGGGAGCACGTCGACGATCCATCGTAGACGTACCCCCGATGCCAGCAGAGCGCTTCCTCCCCCCTGAGCTGGTGCCCACCGAGCTCTGCCGCGTGGCCCTCGGGTCCACAGCTCGGCTCTCCGACGACCCTACAGTGCCGTTTTTAATACTTGCTCCGCGTGCGGATCACGCATCAAAAATGCAGGGATTCAGCTTTAAAAACAACGATGAGTCCACGCATATATTTATTCATGAACTGATCATGTATTAAAAATCCTATATGTCAGAAAATCCCATGTATAGAAAAACTGCCCGTTATCGGGACGCGCTGGGCATCGCCGGAGTGCGCTCGGCGAGGAGCAGCTGCTGGAAGGCTTCCCGAAGCTGGAAGTCCGCCGAGAATTCACGAGACTTACCGCAGACCTCAGACCGAGCTTCCTTCATTGGCGAAGCGTCCTGGCTCCCCTTACAGGCCCACCGAAGAATGTTATCATAATATTTTGCGGCCTGCACGAAATGTGATTAGACCATTTCTGACCACGACTGTCTTGTTTTAGCACATCGGATTCATGTTCTGAGAACATTGTTTTTGTTCTTAAGCACTTCTGGGTTCCAAGAACACTTCGTTGTAGGCCTATAGGAATGTTGGGACGGTCGGTCCCTGCTCCTCCTCCTCCTCCTCCTCCTCCTCCTCCTCCTGGCCGTGTCCCCCTCCTCCTCCTCCTCCTCCTCCTCCTCCTCCTCCTCCTGCTCCTCCTCCTCCCCCTCCTCCCCCTCCTCCCCCTCCTCCCCCTCCTCCTCCTCCTCCCCACCATCTGCTCGGACCCCGTCGGGGCGGCATCCACGGAGAGGCCCAGGGCACGGTCACGGCGTGAGGCCTGGAGTGCTGCCCGAGCGGAGGGAGATCACCGCTGCTGCGCGCGAGTGCTGCTACAGTCAAGGCGGGCACGTCCCTCCACAATCGGAATCATTTGACCGATCCCCATCCCCATCCCCATCACCTTCGAGACCCCCACCAAATGACCCCCCCAGCTTGTACCCCTCGGAACCCGAAGATAACGACCCGTATCCCCATCTAGAGGGGTAAATCGGCCAGTGGGGCCCAGGCCGCGCCGCTGATGATGGCGATCGGTTAAAAGGTGCTCATACAGGAGGGGCGTTCCAAAAAGGGCTTGGCCTTCGAGGATGGAAGGAACGAGGCCACCCTTACGCCAGCGGAAGCCGGCCGAATGGCGGGGCGGCGGAACGTGGCGGAAGTAAAAAATGCCTCCCTAGAGATGGAAACGTTTTTGGGTTCAGGGTTGCCGAAATCGCCCAGGAATAATATTCACGACTAGGTTTAAAGATGGTCCAGCGACGAGTTGTCGTGCTCGTATCGCCGCACAAGAAGTACATTGGTTTTACTGTGTGTCCTTGTTTCTTTCAAAGTCCGCCTGCAGGAGGACATGCCCGACCTAATGTGAAGTCGGGCCTGTCCCTCTACAGAAGGAATATTCAAAAATAGTCAAACAATAGTCTGGGGACGATTGTTTGAGTATATCTTTTGATTATTTCGGATCAGTTTTCCGTATTCTTCATTTTTCGTCAAAACTCCGTTTGTAGGGGGACATGTCGGACTGGAACCAAATGGTATATTTCAGTCCTCCCCCCATCCCCACCCCCCCGCAGCGAGGTCGTGGGCGCTGCGGCTCCTGTGCGAGGCGCCCCTGGCCCTCCACCCCCGTGGGAAGAGGGGAGGGCTCACGGCAGTGCACCAGGGGCGTCCACGAGGGGGTGGAGGAGGAGGAGGAGGAGGAGGAGGAGGAGGGGGAGGAGGACAAGCTAGGTGCGCTCGCGTCAACATCTGACATCCTACCCCTCCCTCCCATCCCTTCCCATTGAGCTACTTCATTGTCCTCTCACCGAATCGGGCTTCGCATCTGACCCTGTTACCTAAGAGGGAAAGGAGGAGGACGACGGCGCGATGAAAACGAAGACGACGACGACGAAGACGACGACGACGACGACAACCACGACGACGACGACGACGGCGGCGACGACGACGACGACGACGATGAGGACGACCGGCGACGAAGACGACGACGACGACGACGCGACCGCGCCGGAGCGGCACCCGCGCCAGCTGCCCGCTGCCGTTACGCGCGTCCCCCACCCGGATCTCAAATTTCTGCAGGGGTGAAAGGAGAGTAGCATTCATATTGGGTAATGGTAGAGTGGGTCCGATGTCAGAGTTGTGCAAGTGCATTCATATTGAGTAATGGTAGAGGTAGAAATTGCCAATCGCGACAAAGACGCAGACGACGATGCAGGTGCATTCATATTGAGTAATGGTAGAGGTAGAAATTGCCAATCGCGACAAAGACGCAGACGACGACGGCGGCGGCGGCGAGGGAAGCGGCAGCGGGACGCTGCAGCGGGAGCAACATTCTGAAGGACCGGGAAGACCCGGATTTTCAAAAACATAGATGAAAACCAAACTCCCGGGAATCTTGTGCGGAAAAGGACGCCGCCCAAAAGGGGGGGGGGCTTTCTGCGGCCCCCAAAATCAACGAATCGACACCGGATGTGTAATCACCTCCAATGTTTTTGCCGGGGATCATTTTCTAGATTTGGGGCTTCTTAAAAAGGATCGAAAACGTCGGCGCTGCAGCGGGAGCACGTTTTGGAACAACGAGAGGCGCAGAAATTGGGCCAGCGCTGCAGCGGGAGCACGATTCGGAACGAGCGGGAGCGCGGAAATGAGGCCAGCGCTGCAGCGGGAACACGATTCGGAAGGAGCGGGAGCCCGAAAATTAGGCCAGCGCCTCAGCGAGAGCAGCATTTTAGAAAAAAACACAAGCGAAAACCCAACTCCGGGGAATCCTGTGTGTAAAAAAACAGTACGCGGGGGGGTGCCGAACATCTTCCGGACGCCATCAGGGGAAGTGGGAGAGTAGTATTCATATTGTGTAATTGTGGAGGAGGGGGAGGAGAAGGAGGAGGAGGAGGAGGAGGAGCAGGAGGAGGAGGAGGAGGGAGGAGGGAGGAGGAGGAGGAGGAGGAGGAGGAGGAGGAGGAGGAGGAGGAGGAGGCGACGTCGGGATGCAGCTCCTGGGGGGTCGTGTCCCCGGACATCGGTCGTCTCGAACACGTCGAGACGGGGATTTGTCATAATGTTCGGCCTCTCGGGTTGAAGAGCTGGCCCCGGGGAAAGTGTTGGGACTTCGGGAACTCCAGGCGTCTGGGTCTCCGACACAATGACGAGCTTCCCAGTCCATGTCGATCATATTCGATATTGATTTCGGCCGGTTCGATTCGATTCGATATCGGTATTCCGACGTGCCGACGCGGCCGTTGTTTGCACGATTCGATCCGATCCGATTTCAGTAACTTGTCGTGCCCTCGGGGCCACAGATGGGCACGCCTCGCAGATTCTTGTCGGGGCACGTTCCTGGACAGGTCAGGGCATCGGCCTCGAGTCCGCCGGCCCAGGCCCCCATCGCGTCGTGGAAAAATAGGTGAAGTTGTTGTTCCGTGCTCGGCTTCTTGGAGCCCTCACCAAGACCCCTTCTGGCCACGCGCACAAGGGGGTGGGGGGAGGGGGAAGGGCTTCTTAGAGGTACCCCTGCTTCTTAGAAGGCGCGGGCCTTATCTATAGATGTAAGGCCCGCGCCTTCTAAGAAGCAGGGGTACTTCTAAGAAGCCCCCCCCCTCCCCCCACCCCCTTGTGCGCGCCGCCAACCCCTGGCCTCCCGACAGGAGGGTCAGATGGCGCCAATTTTGCACGTACTCGCATCCTGGGCTGATGATCGGTGTAGAGTGTAGATGCCTAGATGCTGCTCTGGCCACACGAGTCCTGGTCCTGATCCTGCGCTGATCCTGCCTAGATGCTGCACTGATCCTGGTCCCAGGACGGGCCTGACCCCGTCTTTGCGCGTCCTCCCACAGGAGCAGAAGAAGAAGAAGAAGCCCAGACCTTATCGCACCGTGAAGAAATACGTGGCTCAGTTTTGACCACTTTCGGCCTCTGGGGCTTCGCGGGGCCGTGGGACCGTACAAGAAGGGCTCAACATGAAAATCTGGTGCCGGGGAATGAGCAGGAGGAGAGGTTGAGGATGAGGGGGAAGAGTAGCATCGTCGAGGCGGGAAGAAGAGGACGTGCTTCGATGAGGAAGAGGAGGGCACGGAGGACGAGGACGAGGACGAGTACGAGGACTCCTCTCCGACCTCCTCCTCCTCCTCCTCCTCCTCCTCCTCCTCCCCCTCCCCCTCCCCCTCCTCCTCCTCCTCCTCCTTCCCCTCCTCCCCCTCCTCCCCCTCCTCCTCCCCTCCTCCTCTCCTCCTCCTCCTCCTCCTCCTCCTCCTCCTCCTCCTCTCGCACGCCCAGTACAGCGTTTCGTGGCCCCATAGGGAGCCTCACCGAAGGGCTCAGCGCTACCGTGCGCATGTGCCCCGCACACCCAAGGCCCCAGTGCCACCGCCCGCATGCGCCACGCACACCCAATTCGGCACACCCCTCAGTTTCGTGGCCCCGTAGGGAGCTCCACCGATGGCCCCAGTGCCACCCTCCGCATGCGTCCCGCAAACCCATTTCGGTACACCCCTCACAGGTTTCGTGGCCCCATAGGGAGCTCCACCAAAGGCCCCAGTGCCACCGCCTGCATGCGTCACGCACGCCCAATTCGGCACACCCCTCACACGTTTCGTGGCCCCATAGGGAGCTCCACCGAAGGCCCCAGTGCCACCGCCCGCATGCGTCCGCCACACCCATGTCGGCACAGTCCGCACACGCGTCGTGGCCCCATAGGGAGCTCCACCGAAGGCCCCAGTGGTGGCGCTCACATGCGCATGCGTCACCCACACTCAATTCGGCACACCCCTCACAGGTTTCGTGGCCCCATAGGGAGCTCCACCGGAGGCCCCAGCGGCGGCGCTCACATGCGTCACCCACACCCACCCAACTCGGCACACCCCTCACACGTTCCGTGGCCCCATAGGGAGCTCCACCGAAGGCCCCAGTGGCCGCGCTCACATGCGTCCCCACCACCCATCCCGGCACGCCCCTCACAGGTTTCGTGGCCCTATATGGGGCTCTACCGAAGGCCCCAGTGGCGCCGTCCGCATGCATTGCCCGCACCCAATTCGGCACACCCCTCACACGTTTCGTGGCCCCATAGGGAGCTGCACCGAAGACCCCAGTGGCGGTGCTCACATGCGTCCCCGCCACACATCCCGGTACACCCCTCACACGCTTCGTGGCCCCATAGGGAGCTCCACCGAAGGCCCCGGTGCCACCCATCCCGGCACCCCCTCGCATGTTTCGGGGCCCCATAGGGAGCTCCACTGGAGGCCCCAGTGGCGGCCCCCACATGCGTTTCCGCCGCCCATGTCGGCACGCCGCGCACGTGTTTCATGGCCCCATAGGGAGCTTCACCGAAAGCCCCAGCGGCACCCATCTCGGCTCACCCCTCACACGTTCCGTGGTCCTATGGGGAGTTCCACTGAAGATGAAACCCACAGCTGCGGTACTCACAACTGCATATGGTTGGGTTCTTCGCCAGGCTAATTGAATGTGTTCCGTCGCCCAAAATCCGCCTGTAGGAGGACGTGCCCGACCTTGGAGTAGATGGGGGAAATCTGCACCGGCCCTCTCAACATCGGCATTCGAGTGCACGTACGGAAACAGACAATGACAGAAGCATCAAATCTCGGAGGTCCTCGCGGACCTCCGAGTTTTCTATTTGTGATGGAATGATTGTTCCCCGAACTTGACAGTAGCACTCGAGTGCACTGGTGCAGTCCTGTCGGCTTCGCTAATCAACGTGTGACTCGCCGGACAGATTCAGCTGTTTTTGGACGTCGGTGAACCACCCCGGATGGGGCGCACTCGGAATGCGGTGACGTGCGCACGTGGAGTGCCCTTGGCAGTTTTCATCAGAGGGCGTTGTGCTAGAGCGGGCCCTGCCCACCCCCTGGCAAGCTTCGTGCCGCGCCGTGTGCAAGGGCAGCGTCAGGGAGGGAACATCAGGGTCAGAGGGGAAACGCATCGACCTCCAAACACCCATTCATTGCCACTCGGGGCCCAGTAGCCCCAGCCCGCCCAGGGCCGTACGTACGGATTCGCCATCGGGGGCCTATCGCCGACCTGTCATCGATGTGTCGCCGATTGCAGATCGATGTTCCCCCCCTGAGCCAGTCCTCACTGTCGCAGTGCTCGGCCGAAACGATGTTTTAACGACTTCGAGGACTGCTTTCGTTTGGATGAACACAGAACGACGCAAAACGAAAACAGCACGACAGCGGAAAGCAGTGTCCAGGTCGAGCCCTGCCCCGTCGTTGCCCCTCGCATCTCCGCCGCTCGCGCGCGCGAGGCCCTGTCCATGATGGAGGGCCCCCTGTCCGCGGCCGTGCGGGGCAAGGGCCTGGCGTACGGAGCCTCCGTGGGTCCCGCGGGGTGGCGGCGGCGAAGCTGGATACCCACGTCTCCGACGGTGTATCGCCGCGCCGGTTGTTCCGAGGCGCGGCCTTCCGTCTTTGGGAAGGCGCTGCTTCCACCAGGGCAAGCGCGCGGGGTTTGCCGTGGGCTTGCCGTGGGCTTGCCGTGGTGTCGGTTGTGTCCACCGGGGCGCGTCGAGAACAAACGGCGCGGCGACAATCTGGTCTTTTGTTGCCAGCGGTCTTTCTTCGATTTGGCGTTTGGGGCCCGAGATGGGGCCCCCGGGCCATCAAAAATAAATCTTCGACTGAAAACGGCTCCCGGGCAAGGAGTCGAGACCACCTCGGGTCGGGGGCGGCAAAGAGGGGGGTGATGACTAGGGGGGGGATATCATGGCGGGGGCCATGATATCTCCCCAGGTTTCATGGTGCTCTTCTTATTTCAATACGTTCTTGGCCTTCGGTCGGGTCTCTCTACAGGAGGAATATTCAAAAACGATCAAAAATAGTCAGGGGACGATTTTTTACAAATCTTGAATCATTGGGGATATTTTCTGGTGTGTATTGTTCTCTCGTCCAACATCCGCCTGTAGGGCGACATGCCCGACCTAACCCTGGCCCCCTCCCCCCTTGGGCCGCGCACATGCCGCTGGCCATGATCTGCGCCACCCCCTCTTTCGGGCCGGACGAAAGGGGGGGATTGGGAAAGGGGGGGTTACGAAATTTGCTGCATGCAGCTGGTTTCGGCCTCACCGAGGGGCCCATTCCTCGATACATGGCGCCTCCGGCGCCGGGAGGCGCCGGGAAAACCAGCTACGCGAGCTGATTCTCAAACCCCCCCTTTGCTATCCCCCCCTTTCGCCCGACCCGAAGAGAGGGGGAGGGACAGAAGTAGGATTAAGCGGGCGTGTCCCTCTGCAGGAGGAATATTCAATTCTCTTGGCGAAGGTCCCAACCATATGCAGTTGAGGGTACCCTAGTGGTGAATCTCTGCTTCGGTGAAGCTCCCTGTGGGGCCACGAAGCGCTGCACTGGGCGGGGGGGAACGCTGTACTGTGTGGGTGGTGTGCCGAATTGGGTTTCCAGGACGCATGCGGACGGTCCCACTGAGGGCTTCGGTGGAGCTCCCTATGGGGCCACGAAGCGCTCTACTGAGTGAGCGAAAATGCCAAATTGGGCTTCCGGGACGCATGCGGACGGTCCCATTGGGGGCTTCGGTGGAGCCCCCTTGTGGGGCCAAGAAACGCTACGCTGCGCGGGTGAAAATGCCAAATTACACTTCCTGGACGCATGCGGACAGTGGCACTGGGGCCTTGGGTGGAGCCCCCTATGGGGCCACGAAGCGCTGCACTGGGTGGGTGAAAATGCCAGATTGGACTTCCGGGACGCATGCGGACGGGGGCACTGGGGCCTTCGGTGGAGCTCCCTATGGGGCCACGGAACGCTGTACTGGGTGTATGGGGCGCATGCGGACGGTAGCGCTGGGACCTTCTGTGGGGCTCCCTATGGGGCCACGAAACGTTGTACCGGGCGTGCGGGACGCATGCGGACGGTAGCACTGGGACTTTCGGTGGGGCTCCATATGGGGCCACGAAACGCTGTACTGGGTGGGTGAAACGCAGGGAGGAGGGGGAGGAGGGCCACGAAACGCTGTACTGGGTGTGCGGGACGCATGCGGACGGTAGCACTGGGACCTTCGGTGGGGCTCCCTATGGGGCCGCGAAGCTTTGTACTGGGTGTGCGGGACGCATGCGGACGGTAGCACTAGGACCTTCGGTGGGGCTCCCTATGGGGCCACGAAGCGCTGTACTGGGTGGGTGAAACGCAGGGAGGAGGGGGAGGAGGGCCACGAAACGCTGTACTGGGTGTGCGGGACGCATGCGGACGGTAGGAAGGAGGGGGAGGAGGAGGAGGAGAGGAGGGGAACGCGGGGACCGTCTCTTCAAAACGAGGGCCCGACACCACAGGATGGTTCGTAAAAAAGAAAGAGAGAGTGAGGAATAGACTGATGGAGCAGATGAAAGGAAGAGAGAGAAAGAAAGAGAGAGAGAGGGAGAGAGGATGAGAGAGCTTGCGCGAAAAAGAAGTCCTTACTGCTCCGACCGATCCGAGGTTTCGACTCCGCCGGCAACTCCGTGACGCTGGACCTCTGGGAGTGCACGAACGTGCGGAAGGCCTTGGAGGCCGCCCTGGACGTCGTGCGCACGGAGGGAGGGGGGCGGGGCGGGCGGGGGGGCAGGCTGCTCATCCCCCTCCCCTCCTTTTCACTTCGTTCCCACTGGGATGGAGGGAGGGGCGCCGCCAAGGCAGGGAGAGTGGCGGGGCTTCGCTCTTGCGGGGCAGCCTAATCCAAGACCCCCGACGTCATGAATGTTGCATGACGCGGACCCCCAGCTGTCTGGACCCGTTCCCCAGGAGCGATTGTTTGTCCTGAGTCTTTTTGTTGACGGCCCCGAGGGCTGGCAAGGGCCCCCAGAAGCCGAAGATGGCGGACAATTTCCCGTCATGATTTTCGTCATGACCCGAGGGGCTCTGGGTCAGCGGCGTTCGGCAGCACGAGATCTTTTGCGAGTCGCCAGTGCGCAAAGACTGCTCGCAGGGCATCACAGCGCGTGCCTCCCCCTTGGCACGCGCCGTGGTTCTGCTCGTGTTGTGGCACCAAGCAGGAAGCCACTGCGGGATGCAGTAGGGTGTGGCAGTTCCCCGATCCCCCCCCTGGGCACCCCCCATTCGGGCGTTGTTCGGCGGTTTTCACTGAAGTGTTTTGGTTGTGTTTTTCTTGCGGTGGTTTCGCCGGGGGGAATCCCCGAACCCTAACAAAACACACGCCAAGGTTTTTCTGGGATCTTGGGCCCCACAATGAGTTAAAAACAGCACTATTTTTGGAAACCCTCTCCCAAACAACTTGTTAAGAAAACCCCGACCCCGGGGGGGGGTGTCGGACGTTTTTGGGGGGCTTCTCCAGCCACCGCAGGCTCCTGGGGGAAAACCTCAGATCAACGTCCGAACTCTTTTTTTTTCGGTGTGGATAGGGGCCGGACACCCCAGGCTCTGGGGGAGCAAGCCATTGAAAAGCTCCCCAACGCGGGTTTTGTTATTATGTTTTTTGTCCGCAGGCCCGGGGCCCTACATTTAAAACGAATCTTACTTCTGAAGCACTTTCCAGACATCCCCGATCAAAAACCAGGCCAAAAACATGTCGGTGTTTTTCTGATCTTCTGCGCGGGTTCTCTGGACAACCCAGGTTCCGGGGGGAAACATCATTTAAAACAACCTTACTCGATGGTTTACAACATGCTTTGCGGAGAGTACTCGGCCAGCCCAGGTTCCGGGGAAGAAAATCTCCATAATGAAAAACCCAATTCGAGGGTTTTCAAATTTTGTCTGGGTGACAGGCCCCACCATTTAGAATAAGAAGATATCGGGAAAATCCAGAAAATTGCCGAACAAAAACTTCCGACCAACAAAAACGCAAATTCTATGTTTTGTTGTAACGTTTTTCGATGGTTTTCCGGGGTGTCTTCGGCCACCCCAGGCCCCTGGAGGGAAAACCTCTGCACAAAAGTCAAATGTGTTGTTTTTGTCTCGCGTGTTTTGTCCAGGGCTTCCGAGGCAGGCCGCTTAACGACTAAACGGCAGCACCATTTCTGAAGTTGAAAGATTTCTTCTGAACACAAACACACACCAAGACAAGTCTGTGTTATTTCTTATGGGTTCCGGTGTTTTATCACGGTTTCTCTGGCCAACCAAGGCTCCGAGAGATAATTCCCCCCTCCCAACTCGGAGTCGAGGATGGGACCCCCCCGAGAAAAATTAACAACTCGAAACGAACACCCAACTCGGTTTGTTTGATTTTCGTATGGGTTTTCCTCTTAATCAGCCGTGTCGTTTTGTGTCCAGTCCTATGGGCCTACGTAGCCAGCCTCACTGAGTCGCAGCAAGCTCGATTGAGCATTGGGAAGGCTACCTTCCACGTATAGTGCAGGTTGCTTGATTGTTGTCGTAAAGTTGGGGGGCAGAGTATTTCGAGAACCCAGATGGACCGTTGATGTGACAGGGTCCCCGTACGCAGCTATTCAGACGCGCCGTTGGATGTTCTGAAGTTCTCTTGCATCAGTGTCAGTTCGGAGCCCCTTGGAGGAAGTGCGACTGTGTAGTTGCTCGGCGAGGTGGCAGCCTCTGTCGTGTGCTCAGATCGTGTCATGCTGACAGTAAACGATATTCTCGAACGGGATTGCCGCACCAGAGGCTCTCAGGACACGTTCATTGGGGTAAGCATTGGACTGGCATCGCTGCTGCCTGTCCTCGCCAGCTCTGCTGTGCGATTACCTCGTCCATGAGTCCATGGTCGATGCCGCTGAATCGGTGCCTGTATGTGTGTTATGGGATAGATTCAATCCGTGAAGTGTTGTCTGTGTTTCGAGGTTGTTTTCGTGCCCTAGGCCATTATTTTCCATTCGGATCTGGGGCTTCCAGAGTTGCGCCTGAATGCTTGTTTTTCAACGACCTGTGGAAGATGTGCTTTGCTTGGCTCGGCTCAAGACACGATTATAGAACAAAAAACTGCTGACGATCCCTGGGGGGGCGCAGAGCGAAGTCTCTGTACTTCTTCGTTTTTGATCCATTGAAGTGACGAGCCATGCCCTCGAGGGCTCGCCGCATCGACGTCATCCGCCGACGTGCACGCTCAAGTCCCCCCCCCGTCCCTCTCCCTTTTCCTTTGCCTTCCCTCGCTCTCGTTCCTTTCCTCCGCAGGTTGTGCTTTCACAAACGGTAGTTTCACTTGCGGTCGCTAGGGAGGATCCATGGCCGGGCTGCGCCTGGATGCTTCATCTTTCAGTATCCTATGGAAGATGCATTATGCTCCAGACACGATAAGACATGCGCTGGCGATCCGGGGGGGCGGGGAGGCAGCGGCATAGCACGAGGACACATCCGTTCCAGAGCGCTCCGGAACCTTTTCAGAGCGCTTTGAAATGCCCGGAAAAGTCCGCGGCGCTCGACACATCGTCCAGAGCCGCCGGATTTCAGAGAGTCTCGGCTCATTTTCACCCAGTTCTTTCCTCGTCCTGGCTTCGTTGTCATGTGCGTAGGTGCCTGCGGTGCCCAAGCCCAGCCAGGATAGGTGCAGGGTGCATCGCTGGCACCCAGCCAAGGAGGGTTGGGAAAACATATTGGGAGGAGGTCAAGCCCCTTTCCCCAATATCCAGACTTCCTCGTCCTTGTGCTCCTCGTCCGCATCCTTCGTCCTTCGTTCGTCCTTCGTTCGTCGTTCGGGCTCCCTCCCTGGCCTCCCTCCGTCCTTCGATACCTGATTGTGCAAGAGCCAGGGCATGCGTCCCTGGCGCAGCGGTCGCGGCCGCCAGGCCCTCCGCCGCAGCGCGTGCCGCCGTGCGCGCGCGCCGCCACCGCCGTCGGCGGGCGGCGCTGCGAAAGCCGGACGAGCGATCGGTGGTGAGCGATGTGCGGCAGATTCGGCTGGCACTCGGGGAAGCCATTCGTCCAATGTTTGTGTGTGCGCGTGTTTGTGTGTGTGCGTGTGTGTGTGTGTGTGTGCCTTCTACCCCCTGGACGTCGGCCTGGTCACGTTCCACGTCCTCCTCTGCAGTGCTTGAGGCTGGTGTTCACGACGTGCCGTTGGCGGCAACACCATATCGCTCACCCTCCAGATCTTCGCCCCCGGCTCCTGTCCACGGCGTACCTTTTCCTGTGCAAGTTCTTCGGCACCGCCTGCACCCCGGGCCCCGCCCTCTCCGGCCGCCTGGGGCCACGCCCGCCTGTGCCCTGTCTCCCGAATTAAAGCTGTGCATAGCCCGCCTAGTTTTTAGCGGAAGAGGTTGGTTCTCGCCCCGCCGACCAAAAAAGTGTGCGTGAAGACGGCTCCACTCCTCTTTCTATCCCTCTATCCTGCTATCTTCTCGGCTCAAGTATTGGTCATGACATAGCGCCCGACCTTCATCGGGCCATGGGGAAAAAGAACGCCTTCTCTCCCCCACTTCATCCTCGACCCACGGATCTTAGAGTAGGTTCGACCCTTCGGTCGTTAACTTCCGTACACATCCAGCCCTCTTAGATGAGGTCGGAGTATATAGGGTCGGAGGAACGCGCCGCATCGCCGATGCATCAGCGATGCGGCTCGATGTGGAAACCGATTTTTTCAACGCCGATGGCGCCGATGCTTCGCCGATGTCGCTGATGCATCGCCGATGCATCGGCGATGAATCGCCGATGCGTCGCCGATGCGGCGCGAGCCTCCGACCCCATCTACTCGAACCCTTATTTACAAGGTTGTCTCATCCGTGGCCACGGCGGAACGCAGTTCAGAAAATTAGCGATTTGGACCCCGGGAGGGGTCTGGGGACTGATTTTGAGTTGCCGTTGTCTCACAATCGCCTTGCTCCGACGACAATCGACCCACTACAGCAGGCACATGCGATAACATATCGGAATTTGCGATGACAAATCTTGGAATTTACATTTCGTTGATGTATGAGGGCCCTGGGGTACCAACGAGGTTCTGTGGGCACCTGTGGCCATCATTCCGTAGGGGCCCCGTCTAGCATGCCGGTATCCTATTTAATCGTCTGATGTATCATAACAAAATACGTATATTTGGAACGTTGCTTTTTTCTGCCCCCAAAGCGCAGTCGTTTTACTTACAATGTCTCCTCCTCCTCCTCCTCCTCCTCCTCCTCCTCCTCCTCATCATCATCATCATCATCATCATCTTCATCATCATCATCATCATCATCATCATCATCATCATCATCATCATAGTCCTCCACCTCCTCCCCTCCTCCCCTCCTTCCTCTCCTCCTCCTCCCCCTCCCCCTCCTCTTCCTCCTCCCCCTCCTGTTCCTGTTTGTCTTCCTCCCCTCTCCTCATCGTCCTCCTCCTCCTCATCGTCGTCTTCCTCCTCCTCCTTCTCCTCTTCCTCTTCCTCCTCCTCCTTCTCCTCATCTCCTCCCTCCTCATTCTCCTCCTCCCCTCCTCCTCCTCCTCCTCCTCCTCCTCCTCCTCCTCCTCCTCCTCCTCCTCCTCCTCCCTTCTTCAGTTAGATTTCACTCCGCCGCATTTAGGTATTCCGTGACATAATTACGCATGTCGTCGTTGCAACGTGACTTCACGCAAACCATGTGTCCCTCTTGGCTGGTCGTTACTGTACAGAATGAAAAATCCTCTGCCACCTCCTCCTCCTCCTCCTCCTCCTCCTCCTCCTCCTCCCTCTCCCCCTCCTCGTCTGCGTTCTCATCCCAAATGAGAGGAACGGGCGAGAACGGTCCAGCGGTACAATTGCTTGTCAGTTCCTTCTCGTTTCGACTTCGTCGGCAGTGCTCCCAGGATTGCTTCGCAGGGGTGTTCCGTCGTGTTGCTGTCCTCCCCGCCTCACTCCTCCGGAAAATGCGTTGGACAGCAACAACAACAACACCACCACCACCACCAACAACAACAACAATCATTTTCATATTGTTCGCCCTTATCTGCTCGAGTGTCCAATAACGCGTATTCCCCAAACCCTCGATACCCGCCCTCTTCGTCTTCGATCGAACCCCTTTTGGGGGGTAGACCTTTCTTCCCTGCAGGCCGGGCCCCAGCAAGCGGCGGGGCGGCCGCGGACCGTCGGTCTGGCCAGCGGCAGCGCTGATCGGCGGGGCGGCCGCGGACCGTCGACCCGACCCCAAGAGGGACGGACAGGGGACCGACCACGACGACGACGACGACAACGACGACGACGCCGACGACGACGACGACGTCGAAGACGACGGCGACGACGACGACGACGACGGCGGCGACGACGAGCGAAAGCGAGAGCGAGAGAGAACGACAGCAGGGCCACGAAGGACACGAAGTACACCACGAAGGGCGACAGCGGGGACACGAAGGGAATGCGCATGGGGCCACGAAGAGCGCGAACGAGCGGGGGCGACGAAGGGCAGATAATGCGGGGCCACAGAGGGCAACGATGGGGCCACTGCGGGTAGCAACTGGGCCACGTAGGACAATGAGGGGGCCAAAAGCGGCGACAGCGGGGCCACGAAGGGCATGAACATGGGGCCACAACGGGCGCGACTCCTGGGTGCCTGGGTGTCGGGAGCGCGGCGCTTGGGCAAATTGCAGGAAACTCCAACGCAAGGGCGCTATTCTTCAGTAAATTGCAAGCAAGTCTCCAGCGAGAGCGCGACTCCAGAGCGCCGGGAGAGCGATTCCTGAATCAATTGTAAGAGAGTCCCCAGCGAGAGCGCGATTCCTAAATAAAACGCAAGGAAGTCTCTGGCGGGAGCCGTTGTTGTTGTAACCCAGGGGCCGAGGGCGCAGTTTGAGCATCAAGACGTTCCCTTTCAAATAACAGGGTGCGAGCGTCGAGGGACACACTTTGACGGAGAAAAACAATATGCACCGGTTGGGGGGGGGGGGATCAACAATACTTATTTAATCGCTTCGCTCATTCCGCCGGCCCATACAGTCTCATGTCTGCCGTTTGCCCGAGGGCCTGGTGTCAATGCGGCGCTTTGGGGGTTCCTGGGGCCGCTTGGGGGACTCCTGGGGCGCTCGGGGGGGCATTTGGGGGGCCTCCTGGGGCCGCTTGGGGGACTCTTGGGGGCCTCCTGAGGGCCCCGTGGGGGCCTCTTGGGGCCTCTTAGGGGCCTCGTAGGGGCTTCTTAGGGCCGAGGGCTCGAAATGTTGTTTCGTGTTCCCTCTCTGGGGCCCCTTTGGGGGCGTTCTTGGGGCCCTCTTGGACCGTTTTGGAGGCTTCTTGGGCCGTCTTCGAGCCCTCTTGGGCCATCTTGGGGCCCTCTTGGGTGCCTCTTGGGCCCTCTTGGGGCGATCTTGGGGGCCTCTTGGGCCGTCTTGGGGCGTCGGGAAGCCGAAAAGGTGGAAGCTCCAAAATCTCTCAAAAACCTATGGAAAAACAATGATTTTTGCCTCCGGGGGCCCTATTGGGAGTGCTCTTGGAGGCCTCTTGGGGCGTCTGGGGGCTATCTTGGGCGTCTTGGAGCGATCTTGTGGCATGTCGGACCCCTCGTGTACCATCTTGGGGGCCTCTTGGGGGCCTCTTGGCCTTTCTTGGGGCTCTCGGGGACGTCTCGGAGCCCTGTTGGTGCGCTCATGGAGCGCTCGGGGGGACCCGGCCGGGACCCGGCCGGGACCCGGCCGGGACCCGGCCGGGGACCGGCCGGGACCTGGTCGGGGTACTTTTCGTCCGGGGACCCCCAGGGGCCGCCCCGCGCGCGCGAACTAGAAAATTGTTAACCAGTTACCGGAGATCTTAGCACGCCTCTGGCCCGTTGGGCCGGCGAATTCTTCAGAAATGAGAATTCAACAACAACAACAACAGCAACAACAGAAGCAGCAGCAGCAGCAACACCAAGAGCAACAGCAACAATAACAACAACCAACCACAACACAAACAACCACAGCGACAACAACAATCACCACCACCAACAACAACACCAACCACCAATTGCCAACAACCAACAACCAACAACCAACAACCAACAACAGCCAACCAACCAACCAACCACAGCAACAACAGCAACAACGCCAGGGCCCGCGAGGAACGCCGGGGGAACGAAGCCATGGACCCTTCGGGACCAAGGTGGGGTCCGTTTCGGCGACTCGGCTCATGATGTGTCCAGCTTGCTTCAGTCGTGTCATGGCGCCAACATCGCAGAGCAGATTTCGACTTGAAAACGATAGGATGGGCCCGGAGTGTCCTGGAGAATTTCGTTCCGGATTTCGAGGTGGATTTCGCGCGGAGTTCTTTTGGCTAGGAATGAAGACTAAAACAATCCACGCGAAATCCCCTTCGTTTTTCTTTCGCAGTTTTGATGTTTAGCATGGAAAGAAATCCATGCAAAAATCCGTTGCTGCACGTCTGCAAGGGTTGCGCGCCGAGAGAGAATTTCGAGCACCGAGAGAACACCGAAACTGGAGGGTTTTCACGCGCCGGGCCCTGGGAGGCGATACTCGTTCGACACTGCTTCGATACTCGTTTGGGTGCTCGAGATGATTTCTGGCATGTGGCCCAGGGGCCACGAGTCTCTCTGCCAGGACCTCGCGCCCTCTCGGGTCGCGCTCGAGGCCAACCTAGAACCCCATGAGGAGGAAGGGGAGAAGAGGAGGAGGAGGAGGAGGAGGAGGAGGAGGAGAACAGGAGAGGAGGAGGAGAATAGGAGGAGAATAGGAGGAGGAGGAGGAGGAGGAGCAACATGGGAACATAAGCCCTGGCTCCAGGGGGGGGGGGCGCAGGCCGCGGAGGACGACGGCGCGCTCTCCCCCTTCAACCTCGACAACGCCCGCGGCTCCCTGGTGCAGCCGCCGGCCCCCGCCACGACCACGACGACGACGACGCCCAGCGACGACGACGACG